TAAATTGAAAAATTTTGGGACCATATTTTTGGGTGTTTCACTATTCTGGAGAGCAGAGTAAATGTTTTGCGTAGCAAGGAATTACCTTTGGTAAAGGTACGATGGCGGCATCAAAGGAGCTCCGAGTGGACCTCGGAGCCGGAGGCTAAGATGCGGGAGCATTACCCCGGAGGCTAAGATGCGGAGGCTAGGACGAAGTCTAGTTCAAGTGGGGGAGAGTTGTAACATCCCAGGTTTCAGGTATTTTCAAATCCTTCCTTTGGTTTTAAATTATGTCATTTTGGTCTTTGGATTGTAAGGATGTAGCCCTAAGAAGCCCTAGTGGCCAAATGGTAGTTTTGGAGCAGGAGCTGTATGCTGAGCATACATGTGAGTACGCTAAGAATACTAGGGCGTGCCCTAGTACACCAGGCATACACATATGTATGCTAGGCATACACATATGTACGATGGGCGTACTTATGTCCGAGTGAAACCCTAATTTTTTGGGTTTGAGGGGTATTTAAACACCTTTATGGATCATTTAGCCTCGTCCTTTCATCCTCCAAGACCTTGAGTCATTTTTAGCAAACCCTAACCCTATAAGAGAGTGCTTTGAGCTAAAAGTGTGTTCTTTGTGTGCTTAAGGAATAAGGAGTTGCATCAAGGAGATTAGAAGTTAAAGCAAGCTTGTGGATCTTGGATCGCCACCTTCTTGGGAAGCTCTAGAAGGTAAAAGGTTGCTACCTTTATTCTTTGTTTGCTTGGATCTCATTTTGGCAGCTATATGATGTTCTTTTTGTCCCAAAAGTCCCATTGTTATGCATGTTTGGTTTTGGACATTTTGGGTTGTCCTTTCAAACCCTAGGAAGGGTTCTAAGCCATAAAAATGAGGTCCCTTTAGCTGGTTTCGCTCCATGCTTCTTGTAGAAGGTCTTAATGGTTTAAGATCATATATTAAGGACTTTTTGGACATTTAAAGTCATAAAGTTAGAGATTTTATGACTCTGGGGTGCACTTTGACCATGGATATGAAGTTTGGGCTTAAGTGTTTAAGCCATTAAGAACTTAATGAAGTTTTGGGCTCTGCGAGAATACGCCCCGCGTAGAAGGGAGTACGCTCCGCGTACTCAGTCAATGTCCCCATAATACAATCAATGCGACGCTTGCGTACGCTGAGCGTACCTCCGGAGTACGCCTCGCGTACTGGCATTGTTCAACCATTTTCGAGTTAACTCGACTGGGTTGACTTGGTTGGGTTTCAGATGGTTTAACTCAGTGGATTTATGGGTGTGGGGGGAATGAGGGAAGGGCCTTTTATGTGCAAATTTTAGGCATACGCCCCGCTCCCCGACCACCTGCGCACCGCGCCCAAGCGTGGTCGGCAAGGATGCCCCCTGAACTTCACACACGTGGCAGCTTGTAACACCGTAAAATTTCCAAACAAAATTTTCATTTTAAAATCATATAATTATCGTAATGCATTTCACAAAAAATCATTTATTTAGTTTACAAAACGCATCTCCATCATTGTTTGATTAGTAATCCAGGATCCTCAAAACATATCTCTTTCTCTGGTGTGTACAATCCAGCCGGTGCCTTCCCGCGATTCTGAGAAAAACCTGAAACACATAACACATAAAACGGTAAGCACGAAGCTCAGTGAGTTCCCCAAAATACCACTCATATCTCATCAGCCTCTCATGGCTATACTCGGATAAGACCCTCTGGTCAAATGTGTCTCAATGGGACCCTCTTGTCCCACAACTCAGATGGACCCTCCGGTCCCTCAACTCAGTAACTCAATATAATACACAACATACATATCACAAAGACAAATAAGCATGATATCTCAATACACAGTATATGCACATAAGACCCTCCGGTCACACATAGATTACCACTCAAGGTATGTATAGTGAGGAGACTCACCTCGGATGAAGAACAGCCCCTAAAACCGCTGCTACTGCGCACCAGCCTCTAACTCTGAGCCAAACCCACAATTAACCCAATTAGGAACTAAGTCCAAACTCTCACTCATTATGTTTAAGGGTAGACCATTAACCAGCCCATTAATAGCCTAAAACCCATTGGGCCCACCAAGGCCCAATAATAAATGGGCTCTCCCAAGGCCCAACTCTCAATCTAAATGGCAAGCCCAACTCAAGGGCCCAAAGCACAATATAATATTTCTCTGCTCAAAATCACTAATACACAAGCCCAAAAATCCATGCCCAACCCTTAAGGCCCAATAATAAATTCAGCCCAAAAGCTCACAGAGAGGTTACGTGGGGCGTACCTCCCTTGGTACGCTCAGCGTACACTAGCATGCACGAATCTGATCGGGGACACTAACCCAGTACGCAGGGCGTATTGGGATTACGATGGGCGTACGCCCAGCTTTGCTTAGTTCATTCTCCTGGTCTTAACCCGTTAAGACCTTAGCTCGTTTCTCATATTTGGACTCCCTAAAAGCTCTTACTCCATAAAGTCAGTGACTTTAAGCCTTTGCATGGCTGAAACGGTCACAATCACACAAAACACCCACTCTCTTATCTCAAAAAGCACATAACTCATGCATGGCTTTATACCAACGTCCAAGACCTTATTTTTATGGATCCTCTCCATTAGAAATACTCTAAAGGACAAACATTAGGCTCTGGAGTGCAACAACTCATAAAGCTTCAAGCTTTGGGACCAAAAACCCGAAAATGAACCATAACATGCACAAATCAAGAGGATGGGAAAGCTTTGAGCTTTATACCTTGAAATGATGCTCCATATACATAAAAGCTCAGATCCAAAGCCTGGACTCCAACTCTATTCTCTTCCATGCTCCTTCTCCATTCCAAAATCTCACAAGAACACTTACAACACTCAAAGGCTCTCAAATGCATCCACAAACTCCATGAATGAAGGTTTAGGGTTTAGGAGGGTTTGAAATCTGAGGATGGTGGCTAGGAATGAGGCCATCTCATTCTTTATATAGGGACACACCCAAAATTAGGGTTTTCACTCTGTGCCTAGTACGCCCAGCATACTAGGTGGCTCCGCTTAAAAACCACGCACATGAGTACGCTAACCGTACACACACGTACGCCCAGCGTACTCAGCTGCCACCATTATCAAATTAAGGGACTTATTCTGCCAACACTTCAAACTTCCAACGCTTCCTTATTATGACTCCGTTTCCAAAGAACCTCATACCCACAGAAAGGTGACGAGATGCCTTACACTTCTAGCAACTTGTCGCAACCCCGATACTTCCTCATGTCCGAGTTGCAGCCCACAAACCTTAACCACTGACGACCCGAAACAGGATGTTACACAGCTTTTGGTCCATTTATTCCGGGTAAAATCACAGATTTTAAAAATTCATATCTCTCTCATACAATCTCCATTTTTTATGTTATTTATGTCCACACGTAGGTATTTCCGAGTACCACAACTTTCAGTTAGACTGCGTCAGTTAATTCTCGTCATCATAAATTTAACAGTCTACAAAGATTATATTGCTAACGACCGTCTAAAATTCATAAGTTCTTCCTACGGATTCCGTTCTTGACTGCATTTATATCATCAAAATCATATCGATGCGGTCTTCAACTCACATTTAGATTACTTTTCCTAACAATCGACCAATCTTGATTTCAGTTTCTGTGTCGCACACTCCTGCGTTGAAACTTGGAACAATCATAACTTCTTCATACGAAGTCAAATTTGGACGTTCTCTATATATACGCTCTAGGTTTTACGGCTAGTACGACTTTCGTTTAGATTTCTTACGCTAATAAGCAATCTATCTACAATTCACTTCTTACGATATGTTGCGTCATGTCGGTTTAATCGCGAAACTTTGAAGAAGCATAACTTCTTCTTCGAAGTCGGATTTATGCGTTCTATATATCTATGGAAATCGTATCGATGTTTCATACATGTTTATGTCGATTATTTTTTCTCAAGAGTAATATATATTTATTTCGTATTTTATAATAATTACAATCTATAGTAGTAGTAAAAATGGGGTGTTACATATTAATTTATTTATATAAATTTAATATTAAAAATAAAATTAGCATTGCATGCGTGGAAACCCACACCATGTAAATGACAAAATTTTGTTGTTGTGTGACAAATCTGATGTGACGTTTACATGGATCATAACAAGTGTCGCACCACTCCCTCTGGCCTAACTATATAGTTCCTCTAGCCTAACCATATAGTTAAATGTTGACTTTTTTTATTCTTTACAATCTATCGTGTCTACCAATTTTGTTAAATAGATATTAAACGATCAAAAAGTTGGGGCTAACCCACTTGGTTAAAATGGAGGTTCTAATCTAATTACTATCTTCGAGGTTCTGGGTTCAATCCCAGGCAGAGAAGATTTATATTTATTAGCCGCTCAAAAAAAAGAAGATATTAAAGGATCAATTCACTGTTTTTAGATATCTCTCTATTTTCTTCTTTCTTACTTAATCCATCTCCAATACATTAAACCGAATTGTATAGAATGACAATTAGGAAAGAGAATTTACACATTCACTTAAATTCTTAAAAATTTCATAAATTTTAATTAAAATTGTATTGCCGCCATTCAACTCCACACTTTCTTTCATCTATATTATATTCACATTTATTTTATTAAACCTTCATACAATTTCCATTGTGGATGACCTTATCTTTTAGTATTGACAAGGTAATATACTATATCAAATCATTATTAATATCATATAAAAATTATATGTAATTCAGAAAAAAATGGTTATATATACTATATCAAATCATATTAATATCATATAAAAATTATATGTAATTAAGAAAAAAAATACAATAGCATAGCACCCTACATACAAATTTAGAGGGGGCGGTGACCCCACTCTGTTGGGCCTACACTTGACCTTTATTTAAAAAAATAAAACTATTTTTTACTTATATTTACCACTGTGATTGGTAAATACTTGAGAAGTACACACTAGAAATTTAAGTAGTAATCAATTCAAAATAGATCAATCATTTGCTTAAAGGCCAGAAGTGAAGGGAACGCCGGTTGGCGGCAACCAAGATCCACCGCTGATGAAATTCTGGACGTCGAACTTTGACGCCTCTGTGGCGCTTGTGATAACATGGTAGCCTTTCCATTTTACCCTATTAGCAGTCGATGAACCAGGGCCCGTGTTCATATACTCTCCATAATACAACGTATTAAGCGCGAAATTACCACTCCAAGGATACCAACCCGCTGGGTTCACTATACTATCAAGGTACGTTTTGAGGTAAACAGTCCTCGAATATTCCTTCCACGGTCTACCAAGATAAGTTTTAACCCCACTTAGGCTTGAAGCAGCCGCGACACGAGAATCATGGATCGAAATTCCCGTGTTTTGATTTGGGTCAGTCCGACCTTGTGCTGTCAAAGTGTTTATCTTGTTAGGAGGGTTACGGGCATATAGGTTGCAGTTTTGTAATACCACAGCAGCGTTGCCAAAAATAAAATCAACAGTGCCATATACGTTACATTCTTTATAAAACTGTCTGTTCGAGAGAACGTAGAGTGTATCTTGGTAGCCTTCAAAGCTGCATTGATAGAACACCGATAGATCAGAAGCACTACGAAGGGCCACCGCCTGATGGTTTTGTGGCCCTGCTGTGTTTCTAATAGTGATACCACGACCGATAAATCCATCTCCTACAATTGCTATATTATTGAAGCAATATTTATTATTAGGTGAAACGTTACATCAAATAAAGTTCTATAGACTTTTAAGTGTGTAAACATGTGGAAAAATAGATTAAAAAGTTAAATTTTGGTGTGCTTACCGAAGGTAGCTGAACTAAAAGAGGTAGCACCTCCTCCAGCACTTTTACTACCGCTTATGATAGTTTTTCCAATCCCATCTCCTACTAGCATTATGTTGTTCAATTTGGATCCAATCTGAACTATTTCATTGTAAGTGCCTTCTTTAACATATATAACATACCCTGACTTTGCAGCCGCTATAGCAGCTCCGATGGTCTTATAACCACTAGAACCGTCTTGAGCCACCACAATGTTAGCGTTTGGAGCGGGGTTTGATGATTGTAATAGCTTCCGATCACCGGGCTTTACCCAAGTAGGAAAACCTTTCCGATATCTAGGCTCGTAGTTTTGTGTAGATCCTCCTTTGTTCATTGCCAATGTATTGCTAATTAAGGCGGATAAATTATTGTTCATTAATGGTAACAAGTATTCACCGCTACCCACCTCCTCGAATCCTGTCTTACAGGTCTCGAGATTCGTAAGAGCTGTGCTAAGCCAGGTCTGCCTTTCAACCTGGCTACACTTCCTTTGAGGATCAATAGTCATGTTGATCCTATGAACAGTGGTTTCGTAAAGCTCTAGGCAATCTTGCCATGCAGCCTTTTCATGCTTGTTGCGGCATTTCCCTCCAAGCGATCGAGTATTCACCTCGGCATTTGAAGCTTTCTCTAGGGTGAGTTTCAATATCGCGTTGATGAAATCAGGTTTTTGCTTTATCGGGCCTAAATTCGGTTTACCGGCGAAGAGGTACTCGCAAGAGTCGGGATGAGGTGTTTGGCTGCACCATGATCTTATTTCAGATTCGGTCAAGCCATGCACCCCTGGAGAGACAAGAAGGAACAAAGAAAAAATCAAGATTGCGAAAACTGAAAATATTGTCATGTTAAGAAAGCAAGTTCGTAGGGGAGAGAAATGTTTAAGAGCTAGTTTTTGTTGTGCGGAGTCTTTGCATGCAAAGGACTACTTTATATAGAAGTGGTATATAACCTAACGGCTCTACCTTCCTAACTAGTCAGATTCGTTACTTTCTGTAACGTAGTATCTAATCATTTGGCCAAATATGTATATACGGGTTCGAGTACCCATTGTCAAAGAAAATAGAACAAGACAAGGCTTTCACATGCACACAAGTCACATTCATCAATTAATCCAGTCTAAAACAAGTGGCTGCTTTTGCATTTGGAACTAAATATCTACTTTATCATAACCCAACTGTAAACAGCTGCCTTACATGCGTATTTCTCTTACTCACCGATGTTGTAGACAACCAACCGTGATATCTGCAATAGAATTATGATATGAAAAACGAATAGACAATTTCTTAAACTTTAAACTAGTATATCATGTATATGTAGTCTACGATTCTGTAATTTTTTGTATCCACTAGATGAAATGGTCTCAAGAAGGCGTGCATGGCAGAGAAATTGGTGTGCCCAAATAATTGCATTGCATCACATTGAGTTCTATTTAATATAATTAAATAGTGTGAATGAGATCGATGTCACTCTATCATATGATAGAACATTTCGGTATTGTTGTTTTTGTATGAGTTAAAAAAGTACTATTTCTTATTATCGTATGTTAGAAATAGAAATTATCTGCCATGATTTCGTTATGTCACATTAATATTCTGGAATATTAATTTTATTCCACAAGCAAGGTCTAGAAATAGGCTTTTTACATGTAGCTTCCTTCATTTCATAGGGTTTGGTGGAAAATTAAGGCAAGCGTTTCATTTTCAAACGTATTACTACCATATATGTCAACAAAAGCAAAATAAATTATGAACGTATCGCTCAATAGATAGATAAATCTTATACTGATACATTTTTTTCGTACTTAAAGTGCACGGAGAGGCGTTATGCCTATGTGGCATCAAATAACGGCGTCATAACATGAGGAACACCGTATGTTATTTGGTGTTATATTAAGAGATGTTATCGTGATAATATACTGTAACAAGAGTCTTTCTTTCCTCTCATTGGTTGCACATATTTATCTCTTTATCTCTCTCTCTCTTCTTAACACGATGTTATAACATAAGAACATCATCCTCACTTCATGTTATAACATGTTGTCAATTTCCTCCAATTTGTGTTATATCACCATTTTGACATGGCTGGTGAGGTGACAACTTTGGGGTGTGATAACATGTTGCCCACACCCACCAGCCTTATAAATCCGCCGGCAGATGATAAAAAATATATATTTTTTCAAATCGGTATTTAAAGCATCAATAGCGACCATCTAAAAGCATTGGATTTAAAGAAAAAAAAAACACTATATTCTGGACCATTTATCTAAAAATTGTAATTTTATTTATAAATATTGTAATCTTCAATGCCTCCTAATTGACCAATTTGTCGCTAGTAATTACTGGTGTCACCACTAAAACCTTCTTCCATTAGATCTTCTATTCCCCTCTTTTCCAGATTACTAGATTTCGAGCATCTTTTTCCGGTGATTTATTCCGAGGAACACTTCGACGTCACCGATAACCACCCTGACTACCACTTGTCACCGCCAGTTTCAACCACCATCGGCTTAAACCACCATCCTCCATTATCTATCTTCGATTACAACAAATTTATGTCTATCTCTAACGAAGATTAACATCAAGGAGCATCACCAACAACAACCATCACCCCTAGCTCCCACCTATCATACATATCAGACCGCCAACGACTTCCTAACGAACACCGCCACCTTCAAGTTCTTAATCTTGTTAATTAGCTACCGATTTGGCTTAATATGCTTAACTGGAAAGTGTTTAATCAAGAATGGTTCTAATTTCATGTTAAATATGCTTTGAAAGTGATTAATGTAATTGAGAAATGCTTAATGAATACATGCTTCTAATTTAATGTATGACTAAGCTCAAAAAGTGCTAAATAATTTGTTAAAGACCTAGTTGTTAAGGACTTAATTGTTAAAGCTTTAATGATGTTATTATTTGCTTGATGTTATTAGATATGTATGAAATTTATTAATATTTTTAGAAAATGCTTAATGAATATATGCTACTGAGTTTAATGTATTAATATGTTTAGAAAGTGCTAAATGGGTTGTTAAGGATTTATTGTTAATTGTTTAATTTTTACAGAAAAATAAAGAAAAGCTCAGTCATTTATCACTCATTGTTCAAAAATTCAAAATTTAAAGGAAAAAAACTATTATTACCTGTAACACTCGGTTTTGAATTGCTTCATTTTTGGGGGCTGTGGCCCGATCATCAATTATCATAAGGCTTAGGGCTTTGGGGAAGAAAGGATTTGGCCCCTTTTGGATGTGGGTGTTAAAGTTTAAGTGATATGAGTGTTTGATGGCAATTCGGAGCCTAAGGATATAATCGTAATTTGTTGGTTCGGGCCTTTATGAATTTTGGGTTCTTGTTCGGGTAGTCGTAAGGCATTGGTGAGTTGTTAGAAGCATGGGACTTCTCGTCACCTTTACGTGGATATAAAGTTCGTTGGAAACGGACTTAGAACGAAGGAGTTAGAGTCGAATGAAGATTTGGAGTTTTGAGGGCCATCTAGTACACGGGGCATACTAGATGTGTACGCGGGGCATACCGAGTTAAATGGTCGCGGGTGATCTTTGATTATGTCGAGCGTACTAAGGGGTACGCGGGGCATACTCCCTTTAGCCATGAAACCCTGATTTTTTGTCCTTGGCCCTATTTAAACCTAATGTCCTTCATGAGCCTCGTCTTTTATCAGCCTCTAAGCCTCCTAAACCTTAAAAGTAGACCCTTAGCCTTTATCTTGGAGCATTTAAGCCATTATGAAGGATCTTGGAGTATTATTGTGCACTTTGAAGAGCTTGGAGCTTGTTGAAGAATCACCACCTGGAAGGGAGCTTGTAGATCCAAAAGTTTTAAATATTGCGCAATCTATTGAAAGGAAAAATCTTTGATTGAAACTTCCCAAAAATATAGGCCAAAAATTTCTTTTTAAAATCATTAATAAAATCACAATCATCCAACATCATAAGAAGAAAATCATGAATCATGTATCTCAAACATCATGTCAAAAACTGTATCAAATCATATAAGAAAATATCAGAGTCTAAATGATCCCAGACTGAAACTGTGGTGTGTGCCATGCGATCATCCGGAGCCCTTCCCCTTGCTAGTGGAAGTACCTGAACCCAAAACTGAAAAACATAAGCACGAAGCTTAGTGAGTCTCCCCAACTACCACATACCATACACATAACACATAACATATCCTGGGCCCCGCCCCTGCTACATCGAGTCAAGCTCGGCATCGGCTATCCCGACATCGGGTCCCGCCCGGCATCGAACCCTATTCAGCATCGGGCCCCGCCCGGCATCGAGCCCCGCTCCGCATCGAGCAGATCTCGGCATACATATACATATTAACATCATATAACATAAACATATAACTCTAGCATGAAAACATCCCTCGGGCCCCACCCGACATCGGACCGAGATCCGGAACATACTAACATTGCTCGGGAACCGCCCCGGCATCAGACCTAAGCCCGGGACACATAACACATAACAAACACATGCAAGAATGACAAAGACATCAAGTATACAAGCATACGAACATTCCTCGGGGACCACCCCAGCATCGGATCGAGATCCGGAACACATATATCCCTACTTCGGGCCTCTCCCGGCATCGAACCGTGGTCCGGAACTATTACTATCTAAACGGGTCGGCCTTGGCGCCTTAGACCCTTTCCTACTAGAGAAAACTCACCTCGCAAGACTGACTGCTGAAAACTCGACTGAGAAATCCCTGTCTGCTGCTCCGATGACTACCCGGCTATCAATTCCAATATAACACTTAATCAGAATCTGCTAATCCTCTTTTAGGGTAAAATCACCTTTTTACCCCTGGTCAAAGTGAAATTCAAAGTCAAAGTCAACTCCCAGTCAACCCAACTCATCGAGTCTTCTCCCAAGTCAACGAGTACATGAACAATTCAGACCCGTGGTCAACTAAGTCAACTCGTCGAGTCCCTTCACAGACTCGTCGAGTCCTTCCTGTCATAACACCGGGACATATCGACTCCAACTCGTCGATTCCCTCCTTGGACTCGTCGAGTTCTTCAACTTCCGAGTCCTAATCTTGTACAACTCACTGAGTCATCTCCTAAACTCAGTGGTTTCACTCATAACCATAAAAGGAGTTAGGGTTCACGACTCGACTCGCCGAGTCCAAGAACAACTCGTCGAGTCCTCCTTGTGACATCTCCATTCAGTCGACTCTAATCCATTCCAGTGCTTCCAACTTATCGATATGGACACCTTAGGCTAGCCTTGCACGTAAAGTTGCTAACTTTATGTGCATGCATGATGTTATGGAGCTAGAACACCAAAACCAAACTAAAAATGAAGACCTAATGCATAGAATGGGGACATGGCTGAATAAAGGTGGCAACTTTGAGCTTCTGGAGCTCAAGAGTGCCTAGATCTAAAGTCCTTACGTCCCCAAAAGCTCTCAACTCGGAAATGACCTTCGAAATGGCCCAAAATGATAATAAACAACTTAAATGAGGATCTAAGTGGAAAGAAACCAAGGTACAAGCTTTATACCTCCAAAAGCTCTGAAATGCAACACAAACACCAGATCTTCTGCCTTCTCCTTGGATCTTCTAGCCTTTCATTCCTCCTTCTAACTTCAAATCACACAAAACGGCAAGAAAAGCTTAATAACACTCAATAGTTGCTTAGGGTTTCGAGAGTGGGATGTAGAGGCGGTGGAGGCTGGGGTGGAGGCCTGTTATGTTGCTTAAATAGGGTGCAAACCCCAAAGATTAGGGTTTCATCCAGCCTGGCCTACTCGTCGAGTCGGGGCATCGACTCGTCGAGTAGCTCATTAAAAAATTGCGTCTAATCTGCCTTCTACTCGACGACTTAGGGCTACCAACTCGTCGAGTAGCCGTTCAAAATTAAATGACTAAGAAGGTTAATTGCGTAGCAGGAACCAGGCGTTACAATTCTCCCCCACTTGTCTTAGACTTCATCCTCGAAGTCTGCTGAATCTGAAAACAAC